TTTGGGACCCGGGCCAGGCCCTGCGGGAAGAACTGCCTCTCGCTGGTCCGGGGGCTGAAGTAGCTGAGGCTCTGGTTGGGCTTCTCTCACCCAGATCGGCCCGCTGGGCTACACCGCTGGGCTGTTTGCCTTCTTGAGTGGCACCCTGGGAACCCAGTCCCTGACCGCCTGTGCCCTTGCCCTGGCCCAGGCGAGCTTCGTACTGTTTCGATGCCTGTGAAGCCCCCGGGGTCTCTGCGCGTCCTGCGCTCCGAAGGTGCACCGGTTATGGTTGTACTTGTGCATGAAAACTCAGGACGGTGGCCCAGGAGCTGTTCTGACCACGTCTCAAATCCTGGCATCAGCAGGGTCCTCAAGACGTCCAGGCCAGCAGTGTTTGCGCTAGAGTGCCTGCTGTCAGCCAGTATAGACCGCCATTTCTCCAACTGTGGCTCAAGGATCTCTGGGGGTCTCCAAGACCAGTCTCCAGTGGTCAGTAAGGCCAGATCTCCTCCAACACCATAACCGAACAAACATGGCACAACAGACAGAAGGTGAAGCAGAGGGGAGAATCCAGCTGTCTTTTTATTAAGGCGTATATTGTAAGAGATGCACAGAAGGGTAAAGCAATGCCACTCTTATCACTAAACTTTTGTTTTGAAAAACGGTGTATTTGATTGTTATATATGTTAACATGAGTTTATTTTTTAATGAATAAATTTTTAATTTTTCAGTGTTAGTTGTAAATGTGGCAAATATCAATAGATGTCATCCATACGAATAAAGCGCTTTTGGGGGTTACCAGTAGCTTTTAAGAGCATAGAGGGCTCCTGAGAGCAAAGCACTGGAGAGCTGTTAGTGTGAGCAGAGCGGGAGCGTGGAGCCGAGGGAGGAAGGGCAGCAAGTTAGGACATGTAGTCGGGGTGGGGTGGGCTTTCCAGGTGTTGGGCCCTCAGCAGGACCAGGGTAGGGTGCACTGCACATGGCATGTCCACAAGAAAGCTGAAGAGGCACAACCTTCGAGTGGTAGTCCTCCTTTAAAAGAAAGATTCCATACACTGTTACCCACAACTGAGATCTTTCTTAGAACTCTTGCTTGCGATGAACTTTTTTTTTTTTAAATGGTCATTCTTATCTTTTTTTTTTTTAAAGATTTTATTTATTTATTTGAGAGAGAGAGAATGAGAGAGAGAGCACATGAGAGGGGGGAGGGTCAGAGGGAGAAGCAGACTCCCCGCCGAGCAGGGAGCCCGATGTGGGACTCGATCCAGGGACTCCAGGATCATGACCTGAGCCGAAGGCAATCGCTTAACCAACTGAGCCACCCAGGCGCCCGCGATGAACTTTTTAATGTAATGTTAGATCAGAAGATTCATGCCTTTCAGATGATATAAAATGTTCTATGTGCTGTCTCAGGCCAAAAGAAGTCAAATCCAGAGTGAATAAAGATCTAAACATAAAAACCTTAGAAAAAGTATTTTTAGAATATTGGAGAAGACCTTCCTCATCAAACAGGAAGCTTAGAAGCCATAAAAGGAAAAAAATAGTATTTCATGACATAAAAATTATTTATATCTTCTGTGGAGAAACTCATAGACTAGGAGAAGTTAGTGACAGACTAGGAGAAAATACTTGCAACACATGTAACAGACAAAGCTTTGTGGTCGTAATACGTAAAGGCTGCTTACCAAAAAATGAGAAAATCACAAATAAGCTAATATGAACTAATATGATTATGAAAAAGAAAAATACAAATTGCCAGTAACCATAGGGGAGGATCTAAGATTACTAGTAATTGGGGAAATACAAATTAAAACAAGATATGTATTTTTGCCCATCAGATTAGTGCAAATGAAAAGGGCGAGTATTCAGCGTTGATGAGCGTGTGAAGCCCCTTCCTAAGGCAGAGTCTCAGTAGCCATCAGCGTTTAAAAAGATATGTCCTTGACCCAGAAATTTCAATTTTAGGAATCTTTCCTGTAGGGATACTCAAAATGTGGGTCAACACTCATATTCACACATACGTACACATGCACACACAATCTTTTGATCATAACAGAAAAGGGGAAAAAAATACCCAAACATCTATCACTTGGAGAATATAAATTCCAGTATATCAGTATTCTGGAATACACAGCCACCATAAAGAATGAAGTTGGTTTTTATACATTCTTGTTTAAAAATGTCTGTGATATGTTAAGTGAAAAAAAACAGAACAATGTATTTGTACAATGATTTCACTCATTAAAAGAAGAAAGCCCTTATTCAATAGGCAAATGCACAGCTACATACAATGGGTGAACTGTGCCGTCTCCCAGGACGGCATGGGGTTGGGTGGGGTCGGGAGTGCTGAAGGCCTACAAAGGAGAACTTTTACATTGTACACTATTTCCTTCAGTATTGTTTACATTTTAAGGAAGTCTTCATTATTTTTATAATAAAATCCTTTTCAAATGAAACACAGATATACCCCAAATGCCTGTAGAATTATGGAAAATATAATTTGACTGTATGGCTACAAATGGTTATCTGCATAGCTTTCTATATACAGGAAAAGATAACCTAGAAAGACATCCTCCAGGTGAAGAATTAACCCCTGAAGACTTTGAGCAGGACCCCTCACTGTAATCATCATTTTCTTCCCTTTCCATGTCCATAGAGCAATGAAGTTGTTTTTTTTTTTAAGATTTTATTTATTTATTTGACAGAGAGAAAGACAGCAAGAGAGGGAACACAAGCAGGGGAAGTGGGAGAGGGAGAAGCAGACTCCCCACTGAGCAGGGAGCCCGACATGGGCTCCATCCCAGGACCCTGGGATCGTGACCTGAGCCAAAGGCAGATGCTTAACAACTGAGCCACCCAGGTGCCCCTCAATGAAGCTTTTTAGAGAAAAGAAAACATTTGTCAGTTCCAGGGCTTGATTTAACCGGATGATCAGCCATTAGGCCTCGGGGGGTGTCCAGAACAATGACAGCCATGCAGGGTGGGGGTAAGGTAGGTAGCACAGCCCCAGGGCCTTGCTGACTACCAGCATCACCTCTTGAGCTTCCTCAGTCAGCCAAGACCATGGGATCTACCCTTTTACTGCCCACCAGGGCTGTGCCTGGCAAACCCACCTGGCCTCAACTACTCACCACGTCGTTTCAGTGGTTCGGTTCCCTCACACTCAGCTCTCCATTCTCCAGGGTGCACATCTGGGCTGGTCCCGCTATAGGCCCCATGCCAAGTACAGTCCAGCCAGTCCAGCAAGCACATTTGTACATCTTTGTCCCTTGGGTATGTATGGGCCAAAGGCAAGAGTGGAGGGCAGTGTCACAGGACTGGACATGGTGAGATCTAGAAACACCCTGTGTTTATTCCCATGCCAACTCTAGCCCCCCTGTTTCCAGGGTATGGATGGTGGGGGCTCACAGGTGCAGACATTGGGGTCTAGACGGTGCTACCTAGTCCCTTCCTGCGTTATCCCAAATGTGAGACCATACACTGAGAGATAACACCACTGGCCATCAGCTTGGGTTCTATAGCAAGAGGGTGTGTGTGTGTATGCATGTGCATGCCTTGTGTTATGCATAGCAAGAGGGGGTGTGTGTGTGTGTGTGTGCATGGGCATGCCTTGTGTGTATGCATAGCAAGAGGGTGTGTGTGTGTGTGTATGTGCATGCCTTGTGTGTATGCATAGCAAGAGGGTGTGTGTGTGCATATGCACGCCTTGTGTGTATGCATATCCACGTGCATGTGTTACTTACTCGAACACATGCATACATGTGTGTATGCATATCCACGTGCATGTGTTACTTACTCGAACACATGCATACATGTATGTGTGGGTGTGTGCATGTGTGTGTTGCAGGTTCCAGGCAGGGACACAATTGACAGAGCTCTCCCCTTTTCTCTTCCTCTTCATTAAACCCCATACCTCCCTACCTCACAACAAAGTTGTGTGCTGTCTTCCTCACCATCTTCCAGAGCTTCTCACCGTTTAAGTTGACACCCCTGCACAATCACTTCCTTTCACTGTGTGGGGAGACTGAGGAAACTGGTGGGCAACATTCAGCAAAGCCATGAGCTGTAAATTAGAAAGCAGGAAATGTGGGTTCTAGGGTTGACCTTGAGCAATGAGCCTCTGCTTCCTCCCTGCAGATCTGAAGGGCTTGAGTCACCACCTCTCAGTGCCAACTCAGTGTTCTAGAAGTAGCTCCACGGCGCCGTCCTAGAGCGTGACGCATGTGTTAATGGCAGTTCGGAAATCCTTCGTAATGACAGTGTCAGGAATGCAGTTTCTGACCGCTCGTAAAATATGGTGCCTGCAGGGTTGGAGACAGCGGAAATGTGTTTTCTAAATTACTTCCAAAGGCAAGGCCCTGAGTAAAGGAAGTTGGAGCTTTTTATCAACATATTTTCCCTTCGGTGTAGTGTGTGGATCCTTTGTGGATGTACTTTGGAAAATGTGACTTAACTCTAAAGATGGGTTTAACATTCCTGGGGAGATTACACTGGGAGGAGCAACTTCAGTTTTGCAAGACTTTCTTACCTCCCCTGGGGGCAGGGCCATCCTCCAGGGCCTGCCTGCTCAGGGGAAGGGATAGCCTGTGTAGCCCTCAACCTGTGGCAGGCACATGGGGCCAGAACTTCGAGTCCCGTGTGTGAACGGGGTCAGTTACAGCACAGCACCTCTAGAGGTCTTGTAGAGCCAGCAGAATACATTTTCCTAAGGCCCTACTCATTAAGCAATTTGCAAAGGCAAGTTCTGTCTGAGCACTGTGCGTGGGCTGACCACCAGAGGTCTTTTGGAAAGAGCCGCATGCCAGGGGTTCCCTTTCTTCAGATGTTCTTCAACTTGTCGAAGTCTGGCAATGGCCTTGGGCAGCAGACCTGGGGAAAAATAGTTTCTCTTTCTTGAAGTCCTTGAGAGGACCAGGTGCTTGCAAGAAGCCCTGAGCACCTGGTAGTTGTGTTGCTCAGAGGGCTGGGTGATGGCACAAAGGGGCACGTGGCTAACGGGCTTTCCCTTTCCATCACAGCGGAGCTGGAGTTTGCCCAGATCATCATTATCGTCGTGGTGGTCACGGTGATGGTCGTGGTCATCGTCTGCCTGCTAAATCACTACAAAGTCTCCACACGGTCCTTCATCAACCGCCCGAATCAGAGCAGAAGGCAGGAGGACGGGCTACAGCCGGTAAGTGTGGGCCTGAGCCTCTGGGTGCTGCCCAGGCCTGTGTCTCGGCTCCAGAAGTGAGGCTTGGTGCCCACAAGGGCCACAAAGCAGGACACCCTCTTGAGTCAGCCCACTGTGGCCCATCGGCATCGAAAACTCTATCGAAGGTTCCTATACTTCAAGAAGAGCCTGTGCAGCATGAGCATGAGGCTCAGTGAGTTCTCACAAACCGAAGACACCTGTGTAACCCCTCCCCCAGCAGCCAAGAGACGTGGCCAGCCCCCAGAAGCCCACCTGGGGCTCCCTCCTAGCCATGCTGCTACCAGGTCACCACTGCCTGGACTGCTGTCAGCACAGATTACTTGCACTTGCTCTTGACAATGTTTTTAACAAAAGAGTCCGCCGGTAGGTGCTCCTTTGTGTCAGGCTTCTTTCACTAAATCCGCCCATGCTGTTACATGGAGATGGGTTTTAAAAGCAGCCCTGGAGGTGTTGCGGTGACAGGAATGCACTTGTGCAGCGCCCTGCATCCATGACAGGCTGCGGGGTTCGGCAGCACGGTGGGTGTGGGCGAGCTAGAAGGGCAGTGGGGGGATAGCAGGAGCTCAGGGCCTCCTTAGGGGGATCAGGGTGGGTTGGGTTGTGTAGGGGGCTCACAAAACAGCCCATAGTAAGGCTCTTCATCGCACTCCTCTGGAAAATAAAACATGTTTTCAGTTAAACTGCTCTATGATCTGTACTTAGGGGACCAAAGGCCACTGGCACTTCCTGTTCTGAGCCCTTTTACAATCTGTGATTCTGGTGGCCTTCAGTGAGAGGCTTGGGAATGCGAGTTTAGGCAATTACAAATTCTTGGGTTCGGTGGTGGGCAAAAGAGGCAGAATCGCCTCGTGGTACTTAGCCCCTCAGAGCATGTGTCAGGACCAGGGTGGTCTGGTGACTGGCTTAGGGAGGCCATCACAGGTGTGGGGGTGCAGCTGTCCTGGCAGGTGTGGTGGAGTGGCTGCTGGGCCCAGGGCCCTTGGACCCCTAGGGAGGGTTGGGTCACACTTCATCAGGGCTGCAGAATTGCTCAGTGGCCCATTAGCTCTGCTGTCCGCATGGGCGGAACTAAGGTTTGCTGGGTGCAGGCGGGGGGCGGGGAGAGGGAAGGGATGGGGCTGCTGGGAGCAGTCCTGAGAAAGAACCCCGTTCTCCTTCTTGCTTTCCCTCATCCTCTGCAGTCCCCTACCTTTATCTCTCTGGGTCCCCGGTTGGGCACCTGAGCCTCCTCCAGCCCTATTAACATGATTTTCATCACGCCACAACAGTTTCCGTGTGGGCCCCGGGCCCTTGGTCATCCCCGCAGTCTGGTACCCAAGGGGTCCAGGCTCACTGAACGCTGGCGTCTGGGTGCCTATGGATTCCCCACTGTTGTATAAGGACAGTTCTGTTACCTAAAGGAGAGAGCCAGTTCTTGCGAAGTTCTGAACACAGAATACACATAATTCCCCTGAGTTTAAAGAGAGAAAATCATATTCATAGCAACAGTTTCAGAACTGTGAAAGGATCAGCCATCACTGCTTTGCCTAAGCCTTAATGCAAAGACCATAAGTGCTGACCCCCAGTCTTGGGGGAAAGAGGTAAAACCATCCTCACTCCTTGTCATCAATAGGCAGCTCTCAAGTTTCCATGAAGTGCCTGCCATGAATTTACCCAAGTTCCCTGCTTTAGGCTTTCTGTTCCAATCCCCAGAGGATCTGGAGTCACTGCACACAGGGACTCAGACTGCTTTCTTGTGTTTGGCCTGGGTCCCCACCTACCTCAGATTTCATTTGGGGATCACCTTGCTCCTACGTGACTTGCCTCGCATTGATGAGGTGGCTCCTTCCTCCACTCCTCAGTGCAGACCTGGCCACGTCTGTCACCGCCTCCGTCCAGTGTGGCCTAAGCACCGGCCCATGGGTCTGCTCCCCAGACTGGGAGCTCCATGACTCAGTCAGGTGATGGGACACATACACACACACGGTCACACACTTACCAGAAGGATAACAATTTTACAAAGGCAGAAAAGTGAAAATTTAAGTTTGTTTTTATGTAGAATGTGTCTTCTGTTTCATTTGGGAATGGGTCTGTGTGGAGCCATCTTCCGGGGCGGAGGCGGGGGCTCGCCTGTGTCTCCCTTGCTCCAGGGGCTGCTGGGCAGCAGAGCCTCCATTTCTTGAAACTGAAACGGTAATTAGTAATTTTTGGATGTCTCTTCAGGGCTACACAGCAAATGAAGATAATCAATATCTAGTGATTGTGTCCAAAGAGGTCTTTATCCCACTGTGTGCCTAATTTTGTTAATAAATGTCTGAAAGTTTTAGCTCTGAGAGCTGGACCGAGACGCAGGCTGCACACAACTTGGGGTTTAATTCCTTTGCTGCTACTATACTATTTTTTGTTTTCTTCGCGTGACCCAGTACTGAGTGCCGTTGCTTCTCAAAGCTTGAATTTTCCTTCTCAGTAAAATGGGAATGGGGATATTGCACAGCTTAGCAATAGGCTCTGTTCAGTGTTTCACAAACTCAAGATGTATTTTTACACAGTGATGAGAGACAATTCAGGCCCAGACTGTAGCCCCATTTCATGACTAGGACAACTGACCTGTGTATAATCCAAAGAGGGAAGAGAGAGGGTGAGAAAGAAACCTTAGCTTCTCTTCTAGACACAAACATGAATATAGCCAGCACTGCGGGCCACTTACAGTGTTCCTGGCTACCCAGGAATGTGCTCCCAACCAGACTTCTTGCCTACTTTTTGCCTACCTCTCCTCCCTAACGCCTTTCAAGAGATGCTGCTTCCCTTAGTACAGTACTAAGAGAGCAATTGATTAATTTACACTCATGGTTCCCCGATGGGGCGATTTTGCCCCCCTAGGGGACATTTGACAATGTTGAGAGACATTTTTGGTTGTTATAACTTGGGGATGCTACAGGGATGCTCTAAACATCCTGCAGTGCCCAGGGCAGCCCCCACGACAAAAAAAAAAAAAAAAAAAAAAAACAACAAAACGATCTGACTCTAAATGTCCGTAGTGCCAAAGTGGAGAACCCCTGATCTCAGCAGGTGTTGAATGCCCCCCTTTCTAGAGGCACCTCGCTGTTTGAAGAGGGGGCCTGTTAGTGTAAGTGGGTCTCTCATGACTGGCTCAGAGGCTTCAACAGAGTGAAGAGAACACTTCCCCACAGCATGGTGGAAAGCATTGGGGGTCCCTTGCATGATCAGAGGGCCTGGTCTGAGACTCTGCCCCGGAATAGTTTCCCCCACCCATTTCTGCCTTCTTTTGTTCATTCAGTCGTTCGCTGAACAAAATAATGAAGAAACAGTGTGATGTTTCCTTGCCCCTGACCGTCCCTGCTACCATCAGCAACATCCAGCTGGCTAATTCTGTTTGGCATTTTAGCAGTCTTACTGGGACAGGCCAGGGGTCTCCAGTGGCCGTTTGTGTAAACGGTAGGAGGGGTTTGGGATGGGGCATGAGGACTCAGAGTGGAAGTTCAAGTTGCCCATCCAGGTGGCCCTCCCAACATCCCAAACTGACCACCTGTACCATCCAGCCTCCTCCCCTGAGGGGCTTAGATGGAACTTGACGTTGAGGAAGGCCGGGCTCTTACTGACAGAGCCTGTTGCGGATAGCCTCCCAGGTTCCCCGTGGTGTGGTGCATATTTGCGCTCCTTGGGGGAAAGGTGGCTGGTGAAGCTGAGTGCATTTGTGGTTGCTGCTGCCCATGTGGCTTCAGAGCCCCGCCTGTCATCAGAGCACTTGAAGGGATCTGCTACGGAAGCACCTTTCCGGACATCAGCATTGCAATCCTGCCTTCCCTGGAGCCTGAGTGGCGGGGCTGCAGGAGCCAGCTAGCTGGCAGCTTGTGGGTGCAGGATGGCCCTGTCAGCCTCACCCTGGGTGAGCGTCTCATGGTTCTAAGCCTGTGTGCTGCTGAGAGACCCCCCCACTTCTGAGAGCCTTTTAGCCCATCTGTTCTAGAACCATGTGAGGCCTGCTGCGCATGTTAGGAAAGATGTATTTATTTTAAACTTGTGTGAAAAGGGCTGTGCAATGCACAGGGCAGCCCCCACAACCAAAAAAGCGATCAGACCCTAAATGTCCGTAGTGCCAAAGTGGAGAACCCCTGATTTCAGCAGGTGAGACAGTAGTTGGGTTTTATTTTCAAGGAGGAGGTTGAACATGTAGATGTTCTGTTTTGACTGAGGAAACTTCACTGCCCTGATGTGAGCTGCCTCCTCTCCTCACGTAAGGGCTTTCCACTTGGACCAAAAGGAAGAGCAGAACTAAGGTTCATAAGATAGAGTCTTAATAGCTGTGATTATCCCTGGTTCTCAGGGAGAGTCTTCTGGAAAATGGTTGGTTGGACCAGTTGCCCCTTTGGGCCAAGCGTCAGGCTCACCCTGATTCCGGGAGGTTTGCTTTGTAAAGTCAAAAGTACCTTCCTCCATGACTCCACCACATGCGTCCTTCCGCACATGGCCCCCCCTCCCAGGGACTCCCTCCCCAGCTCTAACAGTGTCTTTTGGAAGCACACACTTTCTGTGCCGGCTCCCTCTGGCGAAGGAAGCAATGGATGGCAATCTGCTTTGGCCTCGGCCAGTCAGCTTCCATCAGCACGGTATCTCTGAGACACCGGTCCATGGGAGCCCAGGGACAGGACAGTCCTGGCCATGAATGTGGTGGAAGCCGCCATTTCTGGATGAAAATGAAAAATAGCAGCCTAGGCTTAAATTACAAGAAAAGTAAATGCTTAACAAATGGCAAAGAGCTGTGAGTGGCTTTGTGACAGAAACCTGTATGTATTCTTCCTGAGGTAGCCTCGGCTTATTTTTCAGAGCCTCGGTTTATGCGATTTCAGGGCTTTGAGACTGTCTAGATCTCTTTCCATCACCTTGGACTCCAAGTAACAGGAAAACAATAAAGGGGCATAAATATTCCAGACACAGGCCTGAGAGGTATTTGCACACGTCACTGGAGCCTCTCTCACCAG